ACTAATGAAAAACTGGTCCTAGAATATTTTCTGTTAGAAAAGGTAATGGTAGACCAGCTCCATAGGTGACTTTGTCTGGGAAAGTTTAACAGACTTGCCACAATTAAATTTTTAAAAGGAAAGTATTCTGAACAGCTGGTCCAAAACAACCGTTTGGTATTCAGAAAAGGCTTAATAGCATCTAGTGGTCGCAAAAATATAGTTTCCTGTGAGATTTTCTTTTCACATCTATTTCCATTGTATTTTTTGGCCAGATAAGCTTAGGTCGTTAGACAGCCTAGCTGACCACAGTTAATCTTAAATTGCCAAATTAAAGGCTAAATTTCTGCATATTTATTAAGTGTACGAATATAATACAGCACCGAAAGTTTAATTTACTCATCAGGGTTGCCATGTATGTGCAAGAAAAGAATTCTGTCTGCTATATAAAATACATAAAGAGAACAGGCATTGGATTTATATTGTAATGCTACATCAGACAGAATAGGATTACATATAAATTTTATCCATCAGACCAGGGGGACATGTGTCGTACCTATCTCCAGCAGTCTGTGGGCTAAAGGTTGGGTACACCATGGATAGGTCAGCAGTCTATCACAGGGTAGAGGCATACAACCATGTGCACACACACTCACACCTAAGGGCAATTTAGAGATGATAATTTACCTAACAGTCATGTTTTTGGACTGCTAGAGGAAGTCAGGGTAACTGCAAAGAACACATGCATGCACAGGGAGAACATGCAAACTACATGCAGAAATATCTTAGGCCAGGAGTCCAACACAGGATCCTCTACCTGCAAGGCAACATTGTTACAAACTGCACGACTGTGCCATGAAAGCCATATAAAATTTAATGTTGGTGTAGATGCAGCACTTTTGAGTGCAAAGTAAAACTTTTATTTGGTCTCTGCATCTTTTTGACCTCCTGATAATCCTTTAAAGTGTCAAATATACTCCTTGTATGCTCCAAACCCTTGATATAGTTTTTCTTATGTGGTTTACAAAAAGTTTGGACAGTGGGTGGCCATTGGGTTAAAGATGCAATACCTGCACAGAAGATGCCTAACATACAGTGGATAGTCGGTTGCTTGCATAACTCACAAGCAGTTACATCTCATTACCTTCAACAAACAGCCAATTCATATAGGCGGGGGGTTTCTTCAGTGTAGAGTCAGCGCTGGATACTGACAGTGTTGGGCTTTGTATTCAAGCTGAATCATGGATTTACTGCATGTGTTATTGGTAGCTGCAGCTAGATAAGTCAAGATGAAGACACATGCCAAAAATATTCAAACCTCAGTGTAAGCCTTACACTTTAACAGGGTTTTTCTCATGTTTTTAATGATAAATGCTTTACGTGAGACAGACAGACAGACAGACAGACAGACAGACTGACTGACATGTAAAATTTAAAAATCAGGATGAAGATATCCCTTTTTTTGGATCCAAAACAAATACTTTCATGGTGGTCAGTCAAGAGGGGCCAGTAGGCGTGGCAAAGGTGCATGTTTGCTAGGGGGATGTGAAGGAGGTGTTAGTAGGGCCAGACTTTATCACTCAACTCCTTTATATTGGGGGTCCTTTTTCAGCTCTACCTTCTAAGATCTAGTCTGCAATAGTTACTTTTGCATAGATGGAGGGAGAGACATAAACAAAACTACTTATTCATCGGTCAGGTAGGTTCTTTATTTCTTTAAAGATTTTAAAGTGATAACAGGAATAATTTCATAAACAAATATGTAAGACACTTACTTCAAAGGTAGTGCTCAGCTAATACCCATACAGTTTTTTGTTGTAGGATTTTTTTTCTCGTTTTGTTCAAATGTCTTTTTTTGCTGCCTTAAATGTAATGTACTGTATCTAATGATGGATTGACAACTTAAAATGTATGTCATCTATTGCACCAAGTAACATCTTGGGTGTTTCTGCTGTTAATGAGCAAAATACATATATTGCCTTAGTTATTCTGCAGTTGGATTCTTTATAAATTTCTGTCCAAGAAGGAACATTTGTGTGGTTTATGGAGTTGTGGTTTTGCTGGTGTGTACAGTGTTCTTTACCTTGAAAGGTATACAGCGTCTCTCAGTTCTATACAGTGATGCTTTGTTACTGCTGTGTGTAGTCTCTCTCTGGAATTTCCACTCAGTTGTAGCTCCTTCCAGCTAATCTAAAATCAAGTTATCCTGTTAAAACTGTTGTTTGTTTTTCCTTTCTGTGTTTGGGATTTTTTTGGTGCTATTTTTTGTTGCAATAATAAAAAATGTTCATGGTTGTATGCAGAATAATACATAATTATGAATTTTTATAAAAGTAAACTCAAATTTAATTTTTTTTTAGCAAAGTGTAATATTAGCGGAGAATGCAAAGTTTGACAGTATTAAAAGCAAAAATCTCTATCCAATGAGACATTCTGTTCTACTGTTTTCTGAATTGTGGCACAGCAGTTTTATTATGAGAACCAGTAAATATATGAACTAGAGTAGTCATACAATGTTCTGATTGAATAGAATCTTCTGAGGAGCCATTCTATCTTCATAATTTAAATGGGAGCACTGTGAGCATGTAGCAGGCAAGTACTGAAAGTGCCTTTTTGCTCAGGAAAACCTATTAAACACAGTGAAGCTTCTAACTATTTTTTTTCCTTCTCTAGGGAAGTCCTGCCAAAGTCATCCCGAACATCTTATTACAAGGACAGAGGAAACAGATTATATTTTTTCAGCAGGATAACTTACAGTTTTCCAAAAGTTAAACCACATATGCATATTTACTCACTCAAAGAAGCCATTGCAATATGTTGTTTACCCTTGGACTTGTCTTTCTCCTAACCCCATTTCCCTCCTTTCAAACCCCGACCATTGAGAGTAGAGATGCCATAGGAAGCAATATGACCAAAACCAATGCTGTTCTTACTTTTTCAAAACCAAAAACCACTGCTCCCCCTTCCAAAAAGAGTGGGCATCCCTCCCTAAAGACAAACACAGTAACTGTGACAGTACCTACTGTATCCTCCAACCAAAAATCTACAATAGCCAGTCCAATGATGACCAACAAAAGCAAGCTTAGTGTTGCAGTAATTCATACCACTCCACAACCAGCAGCAAAGGCTCCCAAAGCCCCTGTCAGTAACACCAACAGAGACAAACACAGAGTCAACCCAGCTACTTCAGCTAAGCAGCCATCACTCAGTGAAGGAAGGACTAGCAAAGACAAGCCTGGACCTACTGGATCACCCAAAGATCAGACAACACTCACAAAGATTTCATCAGGCAGCACGTTAAAAACCAAAAACAAGCATTCTGATAATCAAACTATGTCTGCAAAATCTCCTTCCACCAGTAATGAGAAGAATGCTAAAGACAAACCCAATCAGAATGTTCAGTCTATTCTCCCCAGTGACAATAAAACCACCAAGGACAAGACAACAGTTTCTGGTAACCAGACCGTCCATGATATTCACCTCAGCAGCAGTGATGACAAGTCCAAACACAAGCCTACAATAAATGTCCAGTCTTTGCCTACCAATGGTAGCAAAATTGCCAGCGACAAGCCTAGAGCCAAGCATGACGAGAGGTCCAAAGATTACCCTTCTCCAAATGTTGTGACTTTACCCAGAAACAGTAATAAAATGACCAAAGACCAACCTACAGTATCACCTACTCAAACTGTTTCTGATGCTTCCCTTCATAATAGGGGTAGAAATTCAAAGAACAAGACTACTCAAAATACTCGGCCCTCTCCCAGTGGCACTAAGACCATAAATGAAAGCCATAAGGTGAACCCCACCCACCCTCACAGCGGTCACGAGATGACCATAGATAAGCCTGGTCAAAACAAAAATCAAAGTGAAAAAACTGGTGGCTCAGAAGCAGATAAAGAAACAGGCTCCAAGTCTATAAGTCATACTCCTTTAATCGATGCAGCCTGCACAGACAATACAGCTTCTTCACAGCCCATCGAAGTGGTTATCAGTAATAATGATGAGTCGAGCCACACAAAGGAGCAGAAGCTGACGCTGAAGCCTGGTGCTCCACTGGTGATGACACATAAGATCAAGCTGCTACCTGGTGGGTGTACGGGGGGTTGTGAAGCCGAGATGGTTGCTCTGAAAGAACGCCTGACCCGACTGGAAAGAGAGATGTCTTCCCTAAAAGAGAAATGTAGCTATTTCTTACGAGTATATTATATCTAACATCACTCAATACAGACTGGATTTAATATTTGTGATTCTTCTCTCGTTACCTAGGTCCATGTTCTGCAAATTGCCCCAATAACTGTAGTGACCATGGGAAATGTGAGAAGGGGAAATGTATTTGTCATAAAGGATTCATAGGTCTTGACTGCAGCAAGTGTGCAAAAGATGTTGACTGTAGCAAAAGTAAGTATGAGTTTTTGTTTAAACGTATACTTTATCTAACCTTTGAATGACTCATTTTTTTGTTCAGTAGATATCAAGAAGAAGAGTTCTGAAGAAACTGACTGTACACAGAAAGTGATATCGAGTACAACCAGTCGATCTAATCCTGACGCTCTTAGGAAGAAGTCCCACAGCAAAGATTCTTCCAGTCCCTCTGCAAGCAGTCCTACTACAGTTGACGCTTCTCCATCAAACAATAACAAAAATAAAGTAGAGGAGGCCCGCAGAGGGGAACCAGAAATGAAGGTTCCTCCATCAAATGATACAGAAATTAGAAACGAAGAACGTACCAGGAAACCAACTTTTAAACCGCCACATTTAAAAGACGATCCTAAAGCAAATGTCACACTGAGTAAAGAAAGGACCAGCAACAACACAAGTAAAAGCAAGAATGAAAACAAAAATAAGTCTGTGGAGCAGACCCCAGTGACAAACAAGAATACTGCAACAGAACCAAAAAAGAAGGATCATCTGGAAAAGAAAAATGAGCTATCCATTGATTACGGAAAAAATTCAACTCAATCAAAAACGAACATCAAAGTCCATGAGAACAAGACAGCAATCGTTGACTCTGGGATGAGCACCAGAAAACATGGAGGTTTAGGATCAGTGAAGGCTGTGAATATCTCTTCCTCTAGCTTCATCATCACATGGTTAGCTCCACAACATATGTTCAAGAACTTTACTGTGATCATGAGACAGCCTCAGGCAGGTAGTGCCAAGGATGTTAATGGGGCAGAGGGAACTATGGAAAAAGACTTGATGTCTAACAATAGGAACTTGACTGAGGTCCAAACAGAGAGCATCAACAAAACTGTCTCCTCTGGTAAAAGTATTGGATCGAGAGGTAAAACTGAAACCAAGAGGATCTCAAGAGTGGTGCCTGGCAGTGTGCGATCCTTGGAGTTTAGCAATCTCAAGGCAAACACACATTATGTTGTACATGTATATGGCAGTACAGCAAACAAGAGGTCGACGATTCACAGAGTTACAGCAACCACAGGTTATTATTTAAGACCAATATTTACAAATGCTCTTAAAGGTGCTATACCTAAAGGAAAAAATAACAAAAAGAAATGATTCATAAAATAATCACTTCTATCTCTCAGGTCCTGAGCCACCAAAAGAACTGGTTTTCAGTAATGTAACAGAGTCTTCTTTGGGTATTTCGTGGACCAAACCAAACAGCATATTTACAGGATTCAGGATAACATACATTAACATTGTAACAGGTTAGTCAAACTAACTTTATTATGAGATAAAGATATTGATACATATATATATATATATATATATGTGAAAAAGTTAATAAATATAGATTGTAGGCTCTAATATTGCCCATATTGTTTAGGAAATGTAATGTTATGGTTGTGTTCCTACTGACAGGGAAGAGCCAGTTTGTGACTGTGGGACCTCAACAGTCAAATGTGGTTCTGTCCAACCTGTCTGCTGGATCATCCTACATCATCAGTGTTAGCACAACCAAAGGAAAGGCTTACAGTGATGAACTCACCTCAGTTATTACCACAGGTACTGTATGTCAGAGATGATCAGTCATCTTGATTTACTACTTGGCATACAAGAAGCAAAGTTTATATGCTTTGGATTGTTTCTTGATTGTAGTACCCGCCCCTCCAACAAATCTTCAAGTCATCAATGTAACAGATAACAGAGCTTTGCTCAGATGGACACCCAGCCTGGGAAAAGTGGACCGTTTCATCATTAGCTATGAGTCCTACAAGAGTGAGTTTGGAAGCAAGTGTGAAAACAGGTATAAAATGAACTAATTGGACAATTTTTTTATGTTTGTTTGTTTTTTGGCTATTTAATTACAGCTCCCAATGTCACGGTAACAGTGATGCTTTCGGGAAACTCAGTGCAGTACCAGCTGAAAGGCCTACAGAAAGGTACACTCTATAAGGTCAAAGTGAGGACCCAAAAGAACAGCCTCCAGAGTATGGGGATGTCCACTACATTTATGACAGCCACTGGTAAGTAGAATTAGAACGACTGAAGGACCCAGAATACAGTTTTACTTTGGTGAATTTACAATGAGTGGACTTGTCATGTCTTCCAGTGGTTAAACCCAGGGAAGTTGGCGCTCGTTCTGCCTTGATTTCTTGGGGACCTTCCGCTGTTTATCAAAGCTACAAAGTGATCTATCAGGCTGAAAAAGAGGAAGCAAAGGTGACAGACAACCCTTCTTTACTTGGACCCAACAATCAGAAAAAAGATTCTACAGTTTTAGAAGTGAAGCTTAATAACTCTATAAACATTTCTGTATTAGGAAGTAATCCTGGAGCCAACCTTGACAGAGTATAAACTGACCGGCCTGATGCCTTCATCATCTTATTTTGTTGTGGTACAAGGCGAGAAAAATGAGAAGTATACATCCCTGGTCACATCACAGTTCGTCACTGGTAAAGTGGTTTTCTTCCAGCTGTTGAGATTAAATTACTAAGAGTCCAAATTTATGATTATCTAAAAACTGCTTTGTCCTTTGCCTCTAGGGAAGCTGCGTTTTCCGTTCCCCACTGAATGCTCACAGGAATTGCTAAATGGTGCTCTTGAGTCCGGGGAAGTTAACATCTACCCTCAAGGAAAAGAGGGGCATTCAGTGAGAGTCTACTGTGACATGGAGACAGATGGGGGCGGATGGACGGTAAAATAAACTGCTACATTTACAGACGTTTACCAAGCCAGTTGTGAAAACCGCACGGAAAAAATTTTTGTATTGGGATTTCTTTTTTTTTTTTCTTTTTTTTAGGTTTTCCAGAGAAGGATGAATGGCAAAACAGATTTCTTCAGAACCTGGAGTGAATACAAAGCTGGTTTTGGAAATCTGAGTGAAGAGTTCTGGCTTGGTATTATTGCAGATCATTGTTCATATTATCATCTACTTCAAGGCCGTATTTCCCCCATCCAGCTTAACTAAAATTCTGTTCCCAGGAAATGAGCTTCTGCACATCCTCACCAATATGGGCCCTGTGAGTTTGAGAGTGGATTTAAGATCTGGAAATGACACAGCTTATGCTCGCTACACCAACTTCTCTGTTGCTTCAGAAGAGAGGAACTACACTTTGACTGTATCCGGATACACAGGAACAGCAGGTGCATTTTTAAAAGAAAATCAACATGCATTGCAAACAGATCTATGGAATAAGATTGTTTACTGCTTTAAAAATAATGTACAATTTTATAACTCATGTTAAACTTGCTTATTCTTAAAAGGACTCCCTCCTGTGGTGTTTAGTGTCTACATTTTGATGGAGATTAAGTTTTTGAGCAAACCAAACATTGTTTCAGTGTCTTCAATATTATCCTATAAACATTTTTATAGCTATATATGTTTGGTTGGCCTATATGTATCCCATTTAAAACATAAAAAAAAAAGGAAAATATTTTTAAAAATAATAATTCAAGCAGATCCTAATTAGGATGTTTTTCTCTTTAAGGCGACTCAATGAGGTACCATAATGGACGTCCATTCTCAACCCGAGACAAGGAACCAAACTCTCTGGGAATCCACTGTGCCAAAGCCTACATGGGGGGCTGGTGGTACAAAAACTGCTACAAAGTTAACCTCAATGGCCTTTATGGCATGAACAGTGATAATCAGGTAGAAATCTTTTCAGCACTATTTAAATACTCTGATGTACCCTATGTCAGTGATTTACTGTTTTCTTTCTCTCTCTGTTATAGGGAATAGTCTGGATAGACTGGAAAGGCAAAGACTCCTCTATTCCATTCTCTGAGATGAAGTTCAGACCCTCCCGGTTTTCCCCAGCAACTCATGGCTAAAGATATTTCAAGCTCCAAGACTTGTACATATCTGCATCTGCATATGTTTCCCTAAATTTAATTCCATGTAGGAATTTCTTACAGTACAAAAATGCTGGGGCTATTGTCTTGTTTGCTTCAGTGTGAAATGTTTTTCTGAGGTGTTCTTAGAGGAAATGGAACAACAAGGTGAAGGAAATGGTTCATTGTATCTTCTGTATGCCTTCAAACACTTTTTCTCAGATGAGATTTGATCTGTTTGGAATCTGATAAGTGTCTGTGTCTTACACATATTAATCCCACTATTACTGTATTATTATGCACTGTCAATTGGAATAAACATTGATAAAGTGGGCCTCAAGTGTTTTCTGTGGAGATTTTTTTTTATAGAAACCTGAATCATTTTGTACAAAAATCTGTCAGTGTTTAAAAAACTTGTTAACACAATAATAAACAACAGCTTGACTGACTGCCATGTAAACAGAGGAGTATTTGTATACCCTTCAACACATGCAGGCTATCTCCTGTTACATGTGCCAGACTTATCACATCTCTGGGTTTTAACTTCAAAAATATTTTGCTATCCTTGATTTGAGCACAAACACTGACAGCATTTCTAAGTCAGGACTATAAAGGAGTAGAGCAGCGTACCGACCAGCTTTGTTAAGGAGGGGTGAGCTGGAAGAGACAAAATGGCAGTAGAGATAACGATGGTCAGTGTTGGAGCATTCTTCCTTCTCGTATGTCTCCTGATGGTGCTGATTTCCAGTCAGCGTGACACTCATTCACAAGGAGAGGATAGAAAAAGTAAGTCTGCAGGTTTATCCTAATTCACTGTCTTGTAATACTTACCACATATGATTATGTTGGTCTAATGCTTCTGCCCCCTCTTTTTTCTTTTCAAACATTTTGAAGGAGTTAAATCTGGGCTTCTGCATCATCTATATCAGTTTCTTCACAGTTCTTCTAAACCATCTCTCCCTGGACCACCCAGTCACTTTCTTATTGGCAACATGATGGAGTTAACAAACGATCACATACCGATTCACCTGACCAATTTAGCCCAACGCTATGGCAGTATTTACCGGCTCAAATGTGGAAAAACAAGTAATCATCAAAACGGGTTACACAGTGTGTTTTTATTAGATCAGCATCTGTTTTTTTCTAAAAACATTTATCTCCACTATGTTTCTTCTTAAGCCATGGTGGTGCTTAACAGCTGTGACGTCATCAGAGAAGCATTGGTGAAGAAATGGTCTGACTTTGCAGGGCGACCAATTTCCTACACAGGTTAGACAACCTTCAGTTCAGTTCTTTATCATTCTGATTAACATGTCTCCACAGGTAGGTAGTAGCAAGTTACATCTATTATGTCAAATTCACTTTAGTAACTTTTGAAAGATATATATATATTTCTGGAAATCGTTTTAGTGCACTGTACTTTAGCTTTTACTTAAGTAAAAATATGATGAAGTATCACTGAAGTATGGCTTGAGTAAAAATTCTGGGTGCTCTACCTAATGGCTAACTCCACTCAGGGAAGAACAGGCTGGTTTTAAACTAAAATAACCTGAAATTACACATAAGTAAAATTTCTTTTTTGTTCCCCAGCTTCATTTATTTAATGTTATTTTCCATCTGCTGATTCTGCTGTGTCATTTTACAGTCAAGTGAAAATACAGTAAAGAGTTTTCTGCGTTTTGTAACTTGTAGTAACCTTCCCTATTCTAACCGATACATAATATAATCTAGGTAGTGATCTCAATATTTTTAACTAAATCTATTAAAAAAAAAAAATTGCAAGACTGTATAACCATTAATAGTAACATGGTCTTTTATTCAGCACTTGAGTTGCATTTTTACCAAATATTTTATATGCTTAATTTCTTGATTGGCTTCTTTTTCTTTTTTTATGAGTGAAATATAAGTAGTGCTACACTTACTTGAGTACAATCTTTGGATACTGTACTCACTTCTGCATATTTTATCAAATTAGAATGTAATCAAAAAGTAATTATGTCTAATTCTGTCTTAAAAGTAATCCAACAGTAGCAAAAAAGGCCAAAACAAAGAGGAAAATTTAACTGTTAGATTAAAAAAAGGTCATGAGAAATATGTAGGTTAAATAACAACACTTAGCTGTTTTTATATTGTCTGTGTTGTTGGGTCTGTTGCCTCATATCTTCTTTTGATGATACAGAAATTAGAGATTGAATGGGTTGATGTCAGACCAGTTTACTGGCCAGTTAAGCACTGATAATTCAGGAGGCTTAGACAGCAGATGCCACTTCCTACTAGAAGATGAAGAATTTCCATAAACGTCAGCAGAGGAAAGTATGAGAGGCATTAAAAAAATCCTGTTAGATGATTCAGCTGAGTTTCTGTGACTGTGGACTTCAATAACACTGGAATCTCTGCCTCTTCACTCTTCCACACATGAGACACCTTCAAGGCTATTGAAATTTGATGAATTAAATGTTTTATGTTTTTGATCTGAAAAGATAAGTTCCACTCTTATTTGTATTATTCCTTTTAGCTAAGATAAGATACATTTATTTGTTCCCCTTGTTTAATGGGCTGGTGTTTTGTTTTTTTAGCAGCAAATTCCAGTCATTAGAATTATAAAAAAAAAAAATAAATAAATTCAGTATACAGCATCATTGGATAAAAATCCAACTTTTGCAGTCGTCAAATATGCTGATAGTGTTTCTAAAACAGGTGATATCGTATCTGGAGGAGGGCGGAACATCTCTCTGGGAGATTATACTGAACAATGGAGGGCACAGCGGCGTCTGGTTCACAGCGCTCTGCAGCGCTGCTGCCAGCAGTCTATACATGGCGTGATTGAGAGGCAAGCCCTGCATCTGAGAAAGGTACAAAAAATGAGGACAGTCCCAGTGAGACCAGAGCAAATGCTGGGGTATTTCCAATGTCATCACACAATCTGATAAAGACTGGCTTGTTTATCTCTCAGGTTCTCTTGGACTATCAAGAGAGAGCTGTTGACCTCTCAGAAGATTTCACTGTGGCAGCCAGTAACGTCATCACCACTTTAGCTTTTGGAAAAGAAGTAGGTCTCTTTCAACAGCTGTTTGTGTGGAACTCTCGAGTACTGAAGACAGTTTATAAAATGTACTTCAATGAACAGCTGTGATTGTGCCAGACCAGAAATTGGTTGCTTGTTTGTGTTGGGGAGAGGGCAAAGTCGCTGTTTAAATTTCTGTTTTTAGAAGCACGGGTTACATAAAGAAGGTCACAATGTCCATTTCAGACTAGAACACAGTGTGTATTTTCTTTTCTAGTACGATAAGACCTCACCAGAGCTGCAGAAGCTGCACTGCTGTCTAAATGAGATTGTTGCCCTTTGGGGCTCCTCCTGGATTTCAGCCCTGGATTCATTTCCACTACTAAGAGTCAGTAACATCATGACAGTTATCTGGTTATAGAAGCCCATTTCATTTATGGTTTCATGTGTCCATCTATCTTTTATAGAAATTACCAAACCCTGTGTTTGCTCGCCTTCTCAAAGAGGTGGCCCGGAGAGATGCAATCATTAAAAAGCACCTTAATGATTACAAGGTGGGTGAGTTTTAAAGGTGTCTTTGTAACCTTTTACCTGGTTTTTTAGTTCGTCCTAACCTCATTTCATTCGTACCCTGTACTCAACCATGAAACAGTATATTTCTCTTCCCAGGTCAGTGTTTTGATCAAATGTGGAGTTCTAGAACTGCTCAAATCTTGCAGATACTATCGGAAAGTGTTGAATAAATGGGTTTCTTTAAAACAGTATAAAAGCCCCTTCTTTTAACATTTTGACACATTGCAACTCTTAAACTTAAGTATATTAAAAAGCAAGTGCATAGCTGTGATGTTTAGAAAAATGCACAAGTAATACTAAACAGACTGTAGAACCACCACAGTTCTGGCTGCAGCCTATCATTGCACATGTAGGGACTGATTCTTCCTGCAAAGAAATTCAAAGAACTCAAACCACATCAGACTGAAAATTACACTGAGGTCCCATCCATCCATCCATTTTATGACATGCTTTATCCCGGGTGGGGTCGCGAGGGGTGCTGGTGCCTATCTCCAGCTTTCTACGGGCGAGAGGCGGGGTACACCCTGGACAGGTCGCCAGTCCATCGCAGCACTGAGGCCCATCAATCTTTATAGATTATGGAAGGTTTTCTATCACCTGGACCTTGTGTTTAGCTCCATCCATCTAGCCATTAACTCTGGCCAGCTTCTCAAAATAAAAGCAACCTCACAGCATGATGCCACCGACACCATGTTTCATGCTGGGGATTGTATCTTATTTAAACACACACAGCACACCGCTGCATTAATTTGTGTCCACCTGCATAGGCATTTTTTCTCTATCAAAGTTATTCTATTTTTGTTATTTCTGATTATCTAAATATGTTTACATGCTTGCAGAATATCTTTGCATCATCTGGCATTGAATCAATGCCTCATTGGGGGCAATAATGACCACAGATCATTTTTTGTGTCACATTGCAGCTGATTTTTAGAAGTACTAAAAAAAGGGGCAAAAAGAGCTGCGCTGTTGAGTTTTAGATTTTAGGAGGCGCTCGGGACGTGATAGATGTTTACCTTTGCATATCAGCCACCCATAGATTTGGGCAGTCCTGTCATTAGAATATTATTTGCATATTGATAAACGCACAACCATTAAAAAAAAGGTCTGTACATGCCGTCTGCTGGATTGCAAGTACAAATCCCTTTGCACCGTTTTTAAAGATTTGATCTTGATGTAAAAACAAATCTTAACATGTTTTAGGATTTGCAACCTTTTTGAAGATCAAACCTAATGTGTTTTCCTTTTTGGCCAAAAAAATTCCCTTTTTGCCTCTTTTTACTGTCCACTGCAGATTTAGCTGTGTCCCTCACACGACTAGCAACAAAGTGCAGGCAGAGTTTTTTTATGTTTTGTTTTTTTCTTCAACAAAATTGTCTGTTTTGTGGATGACAAATTTGTGGAGTTCATAACTAGTAATCCTGCTGCTAGATGACCCAGTATCAGCTCTCTCTAGTTATTATTGGTCCTCTTTGCTGATTCTCTTATCAACGCTATTTTTTACCCCACCTGTCAATTTAGGTCAACAGTCATGTTTGTTAGGTTGGCATTTAGACCATAGCTACTCTTTCCATTTACTGATGGTGAATTAAACAACAGAAAAACATCCAGTAAATGATGATTTTAGTTTAAAAAAAAAAAGTTCAACAAAAGCAAATAGGTAAAATAACTTCTGTGTAGAGTTATGTTAGGTTAAATGTTAAATTCAATCAATATGGCCAAATCTGCTTAACTGTAACTGTTTTACTGTTTTATCTCTCCACATTTTGCAGTCCCAAAACAAAATAAATGAGGACGCTATCACAGGATTCCTCCTCCAAGGCCTTGAAAAACAAAAAAGCACAGAATGTGGAGAGGTACAAAAATACACTAAATACCAGGAATGTAAAAATAGAAGTTTTTCATTCAAATTCATTAAAAATTAAAATTATTTAGGTAAGCATACCTCAACCTAAAAACAAACTGTAGGCTTTTTTTTTTTTTTTTTTTTGCATGTCCAGCTCCTGACTGATGTTCATGTCCACATGGCGACTGTGGACCTTCTGATTGGGGGAACAGAGACCACAGCAGCCTGGCTCAATTGGACTGTGGCCTTCCTGCTACACAGACCGGAGGCATAGGAAACTATAAATATTGATATTTCTACAGCATACCTTTTACATATTTAACAGATTATATATGTGTCTCATCTGTTATTTTCCATGCCCCAGGTGCAGACCAGCGTATACGAGGAGCTTTGCACAGTTTTAGAGGAGCGGTATCCAAAATACAGCGACAGACACAGGCTCCCTATGCTGTCCTCTCTTATCAGTGAGATGCTCAGACTGAGGCCGGTTGCTCCTTTGGCCGTCCCACACAGAGCCATCAGGGACAGCAGGTCAGCTCAGAAACAGTGACTAAATGTGCCCCAGTGCATTGTTTTAATTTAGATTCATAAAGGGATTAAAAGTTCAGCAATCTTATTTTGGTATGTACATACATTTTCCAATTCAGTGATCACAAGTACAGCAATGGATTTATATATTTCTTTTTTACAGATAGATTTTATTGAATTACATAATCTAATTTGAAAATCATTACATGTCCTTCCTATTTTGAAGAGCAGCCAATGAAAATAGAGCTCTGTTGCGCCATCTTTACTGATCTTATAAGAGGTTTTAATCATCTTTTCCTAAATAGTATAGTTGTTGCTGCAATGATAGACTCTTATTTTTTTTTTTAGGACAATTTAAGATATTGCAGGGGGTGTAAAAAATGTGAAGGGCACTTTGTATTAAGTTTTGAAACTCAGCACATGTATCTTCTTATTAAATCTTACCTGCTTCTGTCTCCTTGAACCCCAGTGGGCCTCGGCAGATGGCCACTAAAACTGAGTCTGGTTCTGCTGGAGGTTTCTTCCTGTTAAAAGGGAGTTTTTCTTCTCCACTGTCATTAGAGGATCCCTTCATTGACTCGGAGAGATTGCCTTCGAGTCAATGAGTCGATGCAATCAAGAGGTTTTCTTGAGGCAGAAAACTGAATCGATTTGACTGTATGATCTGGTTGAATTGTAAAGTGCCTTGAGATGACGCTATGTAAATAAACTGAATTGAACTGAATTATTAAAGGCACATTTTCTGCAGCTTTTGACATTTTAGTTGCCAATGATTTCAAACTTATCTCCAGCATTGCAGGTTATTTCATCCCTAAGAACACAGTCATCATTCCTAATCTTTTTGGAGCTCATCATGATCCCACTGTTTGGTCTGAGCCATACAGCTTCAAACCAGGTACAGTTTTAGTCCCCAGCGAAGGTTTTTTGTTGTTGTTGTTTTTTGTTTTTCCCAGCTCACTCAGCAGTTTTATTTCTATTATTTTAATTTTTTTCAGAGCGCTTTCTGAAGGGAGGAGATGGCTTTACCCGCTGCCTATTGCCTTTCGGAGGTGGTGCACGGCTCTGCCTGGGGGAGTCTGTCGCCAAAATTGAGCTTTTTCTGTTTACTGCTTACTTGCTCAGAGATTTCCAGTTTGTCCTTCCTCAGGGTGAAAACTCCCTTCCTGACCTCAGGGGGGTTGCCAGTGTTGTGCTTAAAATCAAGGCCTACAAAGTCATTGCCCTTCCCAGGCCTTAAACCTGTCCCTGGACAATACTGTGCACACATGACATTGTTAATGTTTTATTTTTGTTGCATTTGAGGTTTTAAACAAATTCAACACGAGGAACCAACTTTTTGAATCAACAGAAAGATTGAAATGTCTTATTTTAACTTTTTTTTGGCAATGCGCATGCAGCCTTGTGCACCTGTTTTTGAATAGGCTACCTTAATTTTCAAGCTATGATATCACCACCTAGTGGAGAAACATTTCACATGCGTTTTACTCACCACTGCATCGTCATTGGGCTTAATGGTTATCCTATAAAGACAAATAAACTTAAGTCATACGTAAAAAAAAAAAAAAAAGTATACCTTCAAAAGTCACAAGTTTAAATACGCTAGAAACATTTATAGAAGCATACAAAAATTAATTCCTGTCAAATAATCTGACCAAATAGAAAAAATAACTATATTAATCAGACCCATCTTCTTTACAACAGGTTACCAATATAATTTTTAAAAGATGCATTAAAAGAAACCGTTTGTCCCTAGTTTTTTTTTTTTTTTTTATGCTTCTATATCAATATTCAATACTTTTTGAAGGATGAAGCCAGGATGTTGTGTGTACCTTTTCTTATTTTGTTTCTGTTATTGGCACATCATCTCATTTGATAAAATGTTTTGGTGCTTTAAACTGTTGGTTTTTACCTGTTTGACACCAGTGAACAGTATAGTTTAGAAAAAAATATATTCTTTGTTCTGGAGTCCTTTATAGTTGCTATTCTTGCAGATTCTGATCTAGAAGTGAACTGATTTTTTTTCACTTAACGAACAGCTTCGTCAAGGTTTCAGGTTTTTCTTATTATATAAAAAGCTTTTGTTTGATTTAATTTTACTCATACATAGTTAACAGTTAAAAACCTCAATTCTTCTTTGGTACTATAAAGCGTTAATGCTGTCCTGACATACCATTTACTTTACATACCAAAACTATACTTCACGACAAAGTGAGTAATCATTCGTGAAGTAATGGGACATTCCTATCGCTATAATTATAGCTCCCAAAGCATACCGTTCAATTACTAAAAGATAATTAGCTGATGTTTGTCAAAGTAGAGTAAGCTCACTATATGGTTTACATTCCATTGAATCCTGTACCTTGATACACTGGGCCATGAACTTTATAGAGGAGGATAATTTAGGGTAGAAACATCTGAAAGAGCGACATCTTCAAATAATAACAGCAGATCCCACTTACTGAAGGATTTCTCCCTGGAGGTGACTAATAGGAGACCTACTGATGCCCAGTCTTGAATCTGTGGTAGAGGAGTCTTAAAATCATGGGTATCACTTTGGTTTTCTGATCCATTAGTATTGTGGTTGCACACCATCGAAGCCTTAAAGTAAATAATAATTAAATGTTTATTATTCAACAATTGTTGAGAGACCATTCCCAGCAGAGGGCACAGTTGAGCTTACAGTATCATTTGATACATTAAAGGATATGTCCCCCACAAAAAAAAAAAGAAAGAAAGAAAGAAAAACGGCACAGACATGCATATCAAAACTGACAAATGGGGATTATTTTCCTATAAATGGTAAAAGATTCACTCTTGAAAGCCATCAAAACTGTTGACCACCAAAAAACCTACCCACCCTCACAGACCATTGGAATGCCAAGTAACACAGAAGGATGTGGTTAAAGTAAACCTCAGTTATAACACAAGTGTGAAGAGGCTATTAATTGCTCTAAGAAATTAAAATGGGTTTAATCTGTAAAAAGGTTAAGTTCTGTTTTCTTTTCTGGACCTAAGGAAATGATTGCTGCAATTGATGAGTCAGTGTCACATCTTCCTCTCTCAGACTTGGAGAGCATAGTGGGCTTTGAATTAAAGAAAATACACTGATATTACCTGAGAAAGCCTAAATACATGTTTTTTGTGTGTCTAAACAATTTCAGTCAGCAAACTGAGTCATTTGCATATAAGTCTAAAGATTCCATAATTTAATGCTGCACACCCTTGATGGTGGAAAAAGAATCAGAGACTCTGATAGCTATGAAAAACTTTAAACATATGGCTAGAAAAATAATGTGGGCCATTTGTTTTAGCCATATAGTAATAGATGCAGCCTTAGTAGGAATTTGCATAAAGGCCACATTAAATGGAAACAAGCAGTGACACACAAAGTGCATTTGATTGATTAAATGCTCATCTAAGCTGTCAAAATTAAAAAATATTTTGAGAGCAAGTGGGAAAAATAATACAAAATCAATTATTTATTTTCAAATTTTAATGTAGCTAATGTATAATAAAGCTTAACCAATTATTTCAAAATCACTGTCAACATAAATGTTTACGTCAAATTAATATTAATTAATATATATTATAATAATTATAAAGAACTTAACTTTACAGAGAACATGTTAGAATTACCACCACGAAGTCCCTATCGGCTTCTTGGCTGCTTTACTTAACGGTAAAATACACACAAAAAAACTCTTTCCTGAACTTTGCCAGACTTGTAACCTCATGTTAATCTCAGTTCTGGAAAGCTATAGTGTTTTCAACTGCTATTTTGACAACATAATTTAGTGATAAGATCCAAGTCTTTGGGGTTGGAGGTCCGACTTACCTTCCATCACCCGAATCCTTGGCCACATCCTCAGATTCTGAAGTGAGACTAAATGGGCCACTCCAAAACAATATATATATATATATATATATATATATATATATATATATATATAAGTCAGATGAAGCATGTTGTTTAAAAAATCTATAGACAGCTTTAGGTTAACCCTTTATTTGCTAATTTGGCTTCCCTGTGCCCGTTATTTATTTTTTTAAGATTTAAATGTATTTCAGCTTTCAGTTGCATTCTTACAAATAATTTACTCAAATAAGATCCTTTAAAATAATTAAAAACATAACTAATTTATGGAAGCTTGCAGTGAGTCCAATTTATCCCAAATTTACTCAAGCTTGTGCTCAGGTTTCACTTCACAGAACACTAAATGAACTGGCCATTGTGAGGTGAGTGTCACAAAGCAAAAAACACCAGACCCACTATTCTATTGCAGTAAAATGTACTAAACTAAATGCACAAATATAATTTTTTAACATGTCTGAGACAAGGTTAAATGTCAAATTTTCATTTACTCAAACATTTTTAACAGGAAAACATAAAGTATTACACCAGTTTATATGGTGTAATACTTTAGCAGTGTTGTATCCATCACATCCTCTCATGGGATGTCACAACAACAGGAAACTGTATCTAAAGGCACTGGTAAATTATGAGATTCGTGTCAGTTATGTTCAATAATTTACCGCTGAAAGAAGTATGACTTTCCTGCTTTGGGTTGGACTTTATCCCATTATATTTGTTTCTTGGACTTCAGGCGCCCTTCTTTCCTCAGGTAATAACAACAGCCTTTTAATATCTAATCAGCAAAATGGGCAAAATGTGTTTTTTTTTTTTTTTTTGTGAAAAGTAGTAATGCAAGAAATAACTTCATACTACTGTGTTGTATTTAAGCTGGAACCTCATTCTGTGAACATATAATTTTCTTCTCAAATTTTTACCGTAAATCACAGTTTTTTACTCAGATTTCTTCGATGAGACTAGCTTTCCTACACGGATGTTTAGGTTTAAGAAAAAAAACAACTCAACAGCAAGTGACTAGACACATTTTCAGTAAACAAGGAGTGGTTGGGAATTGCTGAACAAAAGAATGTATTTTTAACACTAATAAATAATAATAATAGCTAATAATGAACTAAATGCATATTTCATGGCAAACAGATCCTGTGCTGATGTTTGCAAAAGAAGGAGACAGAGTTATTTTGCCGTGTGGTTTATCTGTTGGATCCTGCTCTTCTATGAACTGGACTGAGAAGTTTCTAGCATGGGAAAATGAATTGGTGACGGCTGGAAAAGTGACAGATTCAAACGAAAAGAAGTACCATCTGTTGAAAGATTGCTCCCTGGAGATCTCTCATATGGAACGTAACTATGCGACAATGTACTACTGTAAACATGGAGAACAAAATTGGGGAGTTTTTCTTCAGATCATTGATAGTAAGATTTTTATTAATAAAATTCTTAAAATATATTAATTAATTAATTTATTAATTTATTTATTTTTTTTTCCAACAGTTAATGAATCCCAAACTGCTGCTGAGGACACAATAGAACTGCACTGCTCCCTCAGTAGATATACAGGCTATGTCCCCTGTAATGACACAAGGATTCATATCAATTGGACCACCGCCGGTGATGTTCCTATAACTGGTAAAAGATTTCGATTTGAAAATCCATCTGTTTGCTTCTCCAAACTGATCATCACCAAAAAAATCACCGACCATCACAGAACATGGAAATGCCAAGTAGTCCTGAATGAGGAGGTGAAAGCAACTGCCAGTTATGAGACAAGAGTAAAAGGTTATAGACTTCAGACAGAAATAAACACCATGGTTTAACATGTACAAAGGGTAAACTTCTTCTTTTTTTCCTATAGAGGGGCTGGAGGAAGTGTTTACTCCTGTTGGTGAGTCAGTGTCACTTCTTTGCAGAAACACTTCCTCTCTCAGACTTGGAGACAGCTTAGTGTGGGCTTTGAATAAAAAAACACTGGCTAATATGTTAGTTGAAAAAAATCATGTGAGCAAAGACTCATCATTAGTAATCAGTAAACTAAGTCCACTGCATGCCGGAGACTACCAGTGTATGGCTTCTTCAGAAGAGAGAATTGTGTTTCATAAAATCAGGCTGCACACTCTGGATGGTGAGTGTTTAAGACATAGGAAAGGATATGAAGGGACTAAAACTATAGCAAAAGCTGTTCTGACTCTTCTTTATCTTACAGTTTTAGCAGATACTGATCCTGCAGGAGGAAATCTCACTTTGACCTGTGTGCTCACATGCGCTAAAGAATGTGAAGAAAACTTCAACTTATCTTGGTCTGGAAGTAACCAAGAGGACTGGCGAGGCAGATTATTGAATGTTAATAACACTTTGCTTAATAAGCTTCGTCTCTCAGTTTGGCCAGATGAAATAACCTGCTCTGTGTACAGAGAAGGCTCCCTGATGGCATCCAAAAGTTGGCACTCTGTTAAATGTATGTATGCGTGTTTACTGTGCTGTTAAATATAATCTGTGCTTTATTAGCATGAACAATAGGAAATAAGACTTTAATCTTCTCAGCCAAACAGATCCTCACATGGATGGGTCTCCTTCTGGGCCTTTTAATGTGTGCAGTAACAGGAGGACTTTTTATTTACTTTAAGAGGAACAAGGATCCGTGTACTGAATCTGGTAGCGGAACACCTCCCCTCAACTTTCCCTTTTGGATTATGTAATAAATGCTATAACTTCTTTTTTTTCTCTCTTTGTGCAGCTGATGCAAGGTCAAGCATCTCAATGGTAATAAAAATTAAACATTTGCTTTTTGTTCATGTCAAGAGGATGTATGGAGATGTGCTAATTTGAGTGTTCTTCTTCCAAGACCCATGTTTATGATGTCATTCAGGACCAGGAAATACGGCAACAACCAAAAAGAGAAGCGGACACCACTAATGATGGTTTCTACAGTTTATTACAAGCTGTAAACTAGAGGAAGGAAATGAACATTGATCTTTGTCTTTATTTAAATTCTGAATTGTTTTTCTTGTCCAACACAATGACCATGATTTACAAAATGACTTGTATTTTCACATTTTGAAAGAAATAAAACCTTTTGCAAGACAACAATGTAAGATTGATTTCACTTAAAGGATGCAGTTAATTTAAAATATAGTCACCGGTCACTTTATTGGCTACACCTTTCTGATTGCTTGTTAACACCAATAACAAATCAGCCAATCACATTGTACCTATGCACTCAGACATCAAGCGGTAGTGCAGATAGCTCACAGAAGCTGCAAGATTGTTAATGCAAGGCGTAGCGGTCTAACTGCTTATCTACTTAGATATTCACCCATAACAATCTCTGGAGATTAAAAGGAAAAAAACTAAAATGTTTCCAGTAGGCGGCAACTAAAAGGTCAAATGAGAACAGGCAGGCTGGTTTGAAGCAACAGAAAGGTGACAGTATCTCAAGCTACTAGTTGCAACCAAAGGCTGGGGAATCTGGATGCACAATACAAGGAAAACCAAAGCAAAACACCACAGTAGTCGTCTCTCCTGTCAGCTAAGGGAAAGAATCAAATCTATGCTCAACAAACGCAGACAACATTTGAAATATATATAAACTTAACCAATTGATCAGGATTATAGCTGCAATGTTCAGGTAGTGGCGTAAGACACAAAATAAAAGTTCTCCCTTACTGTAACTGTGTTATCACACTTCATGTTGTAACATTTTTTCTGTGGCACTCTTTGTGCCAACTTTACATTTTCAAAAGCCAGAGTTCTGTAGAGTGCTGCTATTTATTTTTATCTTTTTAGGACTATAGTCTACCTCTCTTCTGACGGCTGCTTTTCACAGCTCAAACCATCACAAACTTTCTGTAACATTTCACTAAGTTCCCCTATTCCATCAGCCTTCCCTGTCACCAAGTAAAGCCGTTTGGGAAGCTGTGGAAAACTCACATTTGGGTGTGCATCTGCCAAATGTTGAACCTATGGCACAGAGATGACAGCTCTGGAGGAAAAAGGAAGTCAAACCTAGAACTAACATGGTGTATTTAAAAATGTACAGTATGAGTGATCAGTTTTTGATTAAACAACATCATAAATGCACTGATTAAACTGGTTGAATAAGGATGGAGTAAAATCTTCATGTTTTGCCACATGCACCCGGATAATTCTTAGATTTGAACTGCAAGAAAGATGACATTGTTGGAATTTTATGTGACTATATTCAATATGGATGCACTGCATGTCCTGTAACATACTTACAAGTACTCACTTCAATACTCTCCTCCGGGAATGCATACAAGCTGTTGATTCGGTTTGTAGCACCTGTTGGTTGTAGAAAAAAAAATCACAATTAAAAGATGCAATATTACCTTTTGGTTCAAATTAAAGTAAAAAAAAATATATAAATGGTGTCATTCAGATGGTTCAATAAGACAATGAGAACATAATTTTATTCTCACCTGGTGAACATGGAAGATTCACATTCTCATACACATCCCCAGACTCTCTAAAGCAACCTGATCATCAAGCACAAAGGATACATAATTCATATGACAAAGAAAATAAGTTTATCATCACTGCACAGAATCTAAAGGTGAATTCGAGGAGCTTATAGGCATAGCTCACCTGCAGAGTTTGTCGGAGTTTTTCGTCTCTTGTAAATAAACAGTCCTGTCAAGACTGCAAGTGTGAGAATCAAGATAATGACCAAGGTTATAACCCAACTTGAGGTTTCATCTTCTCCTTTTGTAGCAGTCTCCAAAACCTGAGAAAAGGCTGGCATAAAAAAAGAAGCTATTTAAGCTCCACCATAAAAAAAGAGACCAAGTGTTTATCGAAAACTAAAAACAGAACATACCTTCCTGAGTTTCTGAAAATGCAGAACTTGGAAACATTGTGGTCACAGACACATCTTCTGTTTAATCAGAAAGAGAAAATAAAAAAAAAAATACTGAGAGTTACTGTATATACAACATTTATTTGTTGTAATACTGGAAGGATCAGACTTTGATAACCTTTGAAAAGGAGGTTGATGGATAAGCAGCGCGGACTCTGACTCAGCATGTAATCACATTTGTACCATCCTTTGTCCTTTTCAGTCACAGATTTGATTATGAGGTGCACTCCGTTTATTGTAACCCTTTCCAAATCAACGGGTACAGAAGTCTTCCCTTTCAGCTTTCCCCATGTGATGTTTGAAGGGGCTGTTTCTCCATTCATTGAGCAGTTCAGGCTTACAGTCGCACCAGGGGTTGCAAACTCTGGTTTAAGGCTTTTGCAGTCTGAAAAATCATACATGTGATCGATCTACCTTGCAGACTCTATAAATGATCTGAAATTGATCAAATGAATAACCTACCTTTCACTTTCAGGGATATCTTTGTGGCATTAATCATATCCCACCCTTTCCAAACTTCAAAGTCGTACACCCCTTCATCTGATTTTTGCAGGTTTTCCAAAAATATGCATGTCTTTCCCTCTCTGTTTTCTTTCAAAGTCACGCGATTGGATTTATGGATTTCCTTTGGATGCTCGAATATAGTCGTATTTTCCGAATTCACCAGTCTAGCTCTGTGGCAGTCAGGTGGATCCTTAATTTGAAAGTCTGGGCACATCAGGGCCACCTCTTCATCTTTAAAACCTGACACATCCTTAGTCACTGCAAAGCCAGATTATGATGGAATCATAGTACATTATTTAAAAGGTAACATATTTGAAAATAACCACACATAAAAATATATATTCCCCATATTACAATTTCATGTGATATTAATGCAGTTTAAATCTACAAAAAAACATATAAAGATATACTTATATTGATTCGACATTATCAAGAATAAGCTCATAAAACAAACTCACCACTGCATTTAGATTCATGTTTTAAAAAAAATACAAATAGAAAAACCCGAAGGTACAAGTGCTCCATTATCTGACTAATGCAGCAATGTCAGAAGAGTTTCTGCTTTTGTACCTTTTGTCACCTTCACATTGAAATTCTCAGTTCCTTTGTCTATATTAACTACTGTGACTTTGAAACCGCAAGTACTGTCCAGTGAGCTTGACTTGGAAACCTTCTTTTGATGAAGCAATAGTGCCATCTGGTGACAAGAAATAAACATTACTGTACATTTCTGGATTACCTGAAGAGCTTTTCATCACATTTGAGGTGTGTATTACTAAATTATAACATCGTTTAACAGTTATTCATTGTTAAAAATAAAAAAATAAATAAAATAATTTGAAAGTGATATTTTACATCAAGATTATGGGATCGGCTGATAAAAGGCCAAATTCAGTTTTGCGTATTTGTTTGCTTGCATGAGGCATGGATTACTGCTGAAGATATATATTTATAAAAAAAAAAAAAAAAATATATATATATATATATATATATATATATATATATATATAATAATATTACATTTTTTTTATGAAAACAGAATCTAACACCAAGAAAATCTAAGTTTGAAGAAAGAAGGCAATGCTCAAGTGAGCCTTTCTTAGTGATTATTTTAAAACTGTGTCATCACTGTGTTATGCCCTTCTCTGCTAACAAGCAATAAAGAGATGCTGATTTATTTAATTTTTTTTTTTCAGATGGTCTTGGTAAATACATACAACCAAAAAGTAATAATTCAAGCTCAACAGGAGGATCACGGTTTTCTGCTTGATCGGATAACTAAGTCATCTGGGGAAATAGAATGGATGGAGAATTGACAATAGAAAGATGAAAAAACACTAAAAGCCAACAGAAAAGACAAGCCAAAAGCTGCTAATAAAGCAAAATGAGTTTTTCTAACAGCTCAGCATAGGGAAAAAAAATGATTAATTACATGCCAGCCCATGAACATAGTTTTTGCTAGGTCAACCCTTTTTACTGCCTACTTAACATTCTAATTTGCTCTAACTCTTTTTTTATTTTATTTTATTTTTTTTTTTGTTAACTGTTAACAACATCAATTTAAATGGCGGGGGGAAAAACACATGAAATACATCTTTTTGTATATAAAAATGAAGAAGTGATCTCCCTCCCTGGAAAAGCTTACTAGGAGCTGATAAAGGAGGCTGACTTTTGAACCTTGGATTCAGACAGTGTGGTTGTTTTTTCCTGGGAACAGTCGACCAAAACTTTAAAGCAAGGGTTTGGAAAATACAAGTTTTCAGTATTTTGACGAGGGTTTCACAGGAGTCTGCATTTCTAAAGTATTTTGTAGATCTGGAGAAAAACTAACAGCTGCCTCCCATGAGGCATCTTGTTGGTGCAGCAGCAGAATGGAGCATCTGGGTGGAAGACCCTCCGATCCCTGTGCACCTAAAAAAAGAGTTGTGTTTGCATTCTCTGTAGAAAGTAGAGCAACTTTCCAATGTATGTCAGACAGGCCTGCTTCTTATCTGATGGAAAGACAGACGGATGGGTGGACAGATGGATGCATGGATCCACATAATACATAGCATTTAGGTTTAGATATTATTCAGTGATCATCAACAGTTGATTTCATTTAAAGGGACATGTATTAACAAGGTGTTTATTTTAAAGTAAAAATTATTTTTGTATCTGTATCTTGCTCATGAGCGTGTTAGTTTTAAACCAGAAAATGTATCTATCTATAGACTTACAAAAACCTCTCATGTTGCAACACCATTACTTCCTTAAAACAGTGAAGACATGTAAGCTTGTTCATGCTGTAAAAAGGTGAAACATATCAGTGAGCAAATCTTGGGCAGGATGATGCAGAAACCCAACATGCAGTGCTTATGAATGACCGAGCATGTTGAAATACCATAAATGTGAATTCCAGTTTCTGAAACTTTCGTTTGACCTTCAGCTCTGTGCAGCCTGAATTCTAATACAGGAACCTCACCCAGACCTCACTTCCTCTTCAGATACAATTTACAGCCACAGCGTTTAAATTCAGTCAGTTAGTATTAGTTTCCCAGCACTGCTCACACAAATGGATAACAATGCTCAAGGTATGCTTGTATTCATTTTAAAGATATACAAACCAATTGCATTGGGGGGGGGGGGGACTTGTAATATTTCATTAATATTTTTGAGCAAATCATTTGGTCATTACTGTTTTTTCATTTTTAACAGGAGGCAAAGCTTATGGCCTCCTCAAGTCTCAGCAAGAGGAAAAACTCAACTCTATAAATGAGGTTTGCTAGAATAATTGCCATATCAGCAGTTAAGTTACATGGAGCGTCCAAACAAGGCAATTTATCCTAACCTATTATTCCCTTCCTCAGGTATTTCTTATGGATTCAAAGTATGCAGAAGAGGAAGATCTGGCAGCAAAACTTGAAATGTTCAAAAGTAAGTTTTTTAAAGTTACAATTGGCTTCTCTCTATTTCATACTCCAGTAAAATAATCTGTAAAACATCTCTTTGTGTTTTAGAGAAATACATGGAGTTCGATCTCAATGACAAAGGAGATATAGGTAAATTATTTCTGTAAACCAGGCTCCTACGCAGTGAAAGTATTTTTAGCTACAGTGAATTTTTTAAAAAGTGGCTCTTCAGCAACATTTAACTTGTTTAATTTATTATTCTATATATGTACCATCTTCCAGATATGATGGGGTTAAAACGTATGCTGGAAAAACTGGGACTGGCCAAAACACACTTAGAGCTGAAAAAGATGATGTCAGAGGTGACTGGAAGTCCATCAAAGGACACATTCAGTTACCACGACTTCCTGAATATGATGCTGGGGAAACGAAATGCAATACTTAAGCTGTAAGTATACTAAGTTTTACATGAAACTGAAAATGGTGTCTGATTCTAGACATTGAATCTACATTAATACCAAATTATGTTTTTGGATGTGTTAAGAAATGTCTGTTTCCGTGTTACAGTACAAAGAAAGAAAATAGCTTTATTTCTTGCTATATATTGGAAGAAGGCTTTCGTTGGTTTGAAACTTGAATGACAGCCTCGAGTAAAGTAGTACAAACATATTTTTTAAAGAATGTTTAATATAAGATTATATTTTTAACCTTATGGCTACTTTATTTTTAAGACATTTACCCCAATAAGTTATAAGTAATGCTTCTTTATTTTTCACACCTTGGTCAACCATGTTTTTAACAGTGAAGCCCTTTTATCAGTACCTAGCCAGCAATGTACAGCACCATATGTCTGTCTGTGTGGTCCTGCATTTGTTACCTAATGGGAACAGTGTACGAAGACAGGCCCAGGAAAATGTAAATTTGTTGGGAACAGTCGACTCGTCCCAACGAGCAAAAGTTCTCTTGGGTTGCAGATTAAGGTGTGAATTGAGTTGAGGTTAGGTTTGGGGTAAGGCCATTGAAATGAATTGAAAATAAATGGAAGTATAGGAAAGTACTCGTAAGTATAGCAGAACAAAACATATGTGTTTGTTCCTGTTTTTCTGTTTTCACCATCAAATTCAGGACATTTTGCTGCCCCTTACTACCTTTTGGGCAAACAATTAGGTTTAGGATGATATTTAGTTTAGCTTAAGGTAAGGGGTTAGGAATGCAATGGTAAAGGTAAGGTTTAGGGTAATTGTCAGGATAAGGGAATAGAAATTAATGGAAGTCAAGGGGAGTCAATACATGGTCCTCACTACATATCAGGTGGGTATACCAAATATTTTACTCCAGTTAGAGTATCACCACTTCAAAATATTTTAACTCAAGTAAAAGTAAAAAGTAATCATCTAGGAAATGACTCAATAGTGAATAAATATTTGGTTAAAAGGCCACCTTAAGCATCGAGTATCTTATGATAACATTGATTAATATTCTAGTATACAAATTCTTGTGCTTTAAATAGTAAATTACAAAATCTATGCAAATACTTTGCCAGAAGTATCAATTTGCTTATTGATGTATGTGAAATTTGATGAAATCTTTTTCTTTATCTATAGGGTCAATCTGTTCAATCATAGCAATAGCAACATTAACTATTCTGTAAATATTTACTTCAAGTTTTAAGGCGGAATTCACATTTACATGTGAAAAACAGAATTGAAAGGTTGAGGCTAGGGTTCTGTGCAGGCCTATGAAGTTTCTCTACACCAAATTGTATCCACCTATAACTTTATCCACATACCCAAAAATGTTCCTTTTATGGTATTAACCAGTACCTTTGGCAATATAATGTATGTTAGAAGAGTGCAGACTTTATCCAATTGCTCAATGAGCTCTGCAGATTAAAAAAATAAAATAAAGAGTACTACAAAATATCTTTGTACAAACAAGAAGTCTCACTTTGTTGGTATGTGTTTTTTTGTTTTTGTTTTTTTACTCCAGTGCATTTTTGTCCCAAAAAAAGTCTGCCTTTTTAAATTCAATTAACTCATGTAGGATAGGGTAGGGAGAAATTTTACCCAAGAGTAGCAATATTACTAAATTAAAAAGTACAGTGTAGTAAAACTACCCCTAAAAGTACATTTTGTTTAAAAGAATATTCGAGTAAATATAACTGGATAAATTCATTGTGTTACTATCCACTTCTGCTACATAATGAAAAACAAGAATGTGTGTAAGTTGGGGAGACTTTATCTCATTAAAGATTTCAGAAAGTATAAACCATATGATATAAAAAACAAAAAAAACAAGTTGTTGTTCTTTTTCATCTGTTAAGGATCCTCATGTTTGAAGGAATGGGAAAGGAGCAGGAGCAGAAGGATGTTGGTCCACCTTCACGCAAAACCTTTTCAGACCTTCCATGAAACCTCTACAGCACCCGAAAATGTCATTTTGGCTCTGTTTATCCTATTGAAGAGTACTTCTGATGCATTCACGATGTAAAACAAAAATAAAATGCCACGACTCTTAAAAAGAAGGGAAATTAATGTATTACTTGGATGCTAAAATGTAAAGCATAACAGTAGAAAAGGGCAGCCATATAATGCTACTCGTCATACTATGTATATGTGATGAGTATACATTATATGGCTACATGTTTCTACAATTATGTCAATTTTACTTGGGCTAAGATTCAAGACTTTGTCATGGCATTTTTCCTATATCCAATGTTTTGGAACTATTATTTCATTAAAAAAGAGGGAAAGCAATATTACATTACACCTTTGTGAATTTTGTCTTAGCATGTCTTAGCACCCCTCTAAGTCAAAAATATTGATGATTGCCCAAAAGTGGGATGTACAACAACTGATTACAAAATAAAAAACTATTTTACTTTATCTTTCAATTTGAGCATTTAATTCTTAAGCATTTTATGCTGTCAATCACAAATAAAAAAAAAGCCACATAAATATGTTGCCTGAAAATTAGCAAGGAATCAAAATCAATACAAAATAAAATCATATAAACTTTTATTTAAAAAAATGAGCTCCTCTGAGTAACTCCCTTATAATCACATTTAAACTTAATGATATGAGAACAAAATAATTAACAAAAATAATAGTCAGACTGACTTAATTTTTACTTTTGATCAATACACCTGAGCTGCTTTGATGAGCTACAGCAGCTCAGTAAGAACAACAGCTGATCCCAGGCTGTTCTTTACTTCCAGGATGTTCCTCTGCTTGGGTTTGATGCATGTGTCAAAGCTGAACTCAAACATATAAGAAAAACTTACTTTTTGATTGATAAAAGCCTGTTATGATTTTCAATTTGGTCCTCAGAAAGAAAAGCAGATTCCATCCCTATTTTATTTAAAATTAACCCTTTAAAGCCTGAACCATGAAGCACTTCAATGTTCTTTTTTTCTTTTTTTTTATTGGAGTGGTCATTGAACTTTCTGCAAAAGGAAAAATAAAAAACGGCAAAAATTTTGTGTAAGTTAAATTAGATCTTTTATTTTAATCATTTTTGATACATTAGGCATTTCTGTATAACCTTTTATGTTTAAACTTTTTTCTTTTAGCTTCATGTGTCTGATTGTGTAAGTACGGAAGAGGATTAGGGCCACTGAAAAAATTTAAAACTTTAACTGATTTTTAAATTTCATTTCAGTATAATATGAGAAAAAAGTCAGAATTCTGACTTTCACCTCAGAATTATGACTTCTTTCTCTAAATTCTGACTTTAATCTCAGAAATGTGACTGTTTTCTGACAGCTAACAAACATGTTAGTATCAAGCCGTAGCCATGCCTGTGTTAGTACGGAGCCCCCTGGGTGTCAGGGAAAAAAAAATAAAAAATAGCCAGTGGAAATCCGTGGGCACGGATTGATAAACTGAGCGCACGGTTTTCCAATGCGTGCGCAGATTAAGAAACTGTGCTCTCGGTTTATTAATCTGTGCCCGTGGATTGAGAAACTGTGCTCTTGGTTTATCAACCCGTGCCCATGGATTAAGAAACTGTGCTCTCGTTTTATTGATCCAGCTGCTCCGGAACCTTCAGAGTTCAATGCATGAGTCGCACCTACAAGGTAAGTTTAGTCAATTAATTGTTATATATATATATAAACATATAGACTTAGTGCAGTACGATGCTTTAAAGAGCATGCTTTAGAGCTTTAACTTGCATCGAACTCTGAAGGTTCCGGAGCAGATGTGTGCGCACGGAATGCAAAGCAGGGCATACAGTTTATTGATCAGCACGCACGGATCAATAAACCGAGAGCACAGTTTTTTAATCTGCGCGCACGGATTAATAAACCAAGAGCACAGTTTTTTAATCTGCGCGCACGGATTAATAAACCAAGAGCATAGTTCTTTAATCTGCGCGCACGGATTAATAAACCGAGAGCACAGTCTCTTAATCTGCGCACGGATTGGAAAACCGTACACTCAGTTTATCAATCCGTGCCCACGGATTTCCAACGGCCTTTTTTTTTTTTTTTTACCCTAACACCAAGTTGGCTCCGTAGATTAAAGTCAGAATTCTGAGAAAAAAGTCAGAATTCTGAGATTAAAGTCCAAATTCTGAAATTAAAGTCAGAATTTTTCTCCATATTAAACTGAAGTAATATTTAAAAATCAGTTAACTTTTTTTTTTTTCAGTGGCTCACATCCTCTTCCATATTTAAGTCCTGGTTTTCAAGAACAAAAACATCTCACTGAAGACGCAGAGGTCTCAAAAAGCAATGTATCAAATATGATACACATGGCCTTAATGGGTTACATTTTTTTATGTAGCATGCACTCGCAGACCCCTAGGGGAAAGAGTAGCCCCAGTTATAAATCACTGCTCTAATGTTTCTATTTCCTGATATTACAGTAGAAGTTTTAGACCATTAATTTGAAAACCCTCGTTACCGGAAGTTGTTCAACACGGAAGAGAGGAAAGGCTAGCGCTAGCAGCAAGCTAGCTTGCTTGTACACTAACCGTCAACGTATGTTGCGGTCATCTCAAACTAGTTCTGGACTGGTATCCAGTGTCTTTCAAGCTTCTTTTACCGAATCTAGTTTCTAGCAGCAGATATAAAAAGCGCAGCTATTTGTCAGGAGGATGAGCAGTTCGGAGGAGGTGTCCTGGATATCCTGGTTCTGTGGACTCAGAGGAAACGAGTTGTTCTGTGAGGCAAGTTTTACTTTTACTTTGAAAATTCGATCCAATAATAAAACCTACGAGCCCATTTATAAAGCAATCACGTCTCTGATCATGTGTCCCATTAACTCGTGGGTTTTGGAAACTTGTTTTTGGGGTTTTAAAAATATGTGGATTAGGAAATTCTAAGAGTTATCGAAAATCAACCATCATTCTATTTAAGTTAAAAAAACAAGAAAAACGGACAGTAACTTTAAAAGGTTTTTTAATTCAGCTACTGTCACTCATGGTGGTTCTAGTTTATTTTTTAATAGGTTTTGTTACCATTGCAAAGCACAAAGATAAGCCCCAGAAAAAAGAGGAAATTATGGGACTATTTCATAACTATAAGATACTTTCTCATAATAATTAAATATTACCTAATAGTCATTATTTGACTACCTTGTTTTTTTGTCATGAGAATAATGGAAACCGGTTACTATAGTAACATGCAGTTCCAGGGCAATGGTAGCTGACAGAGCCAAAGGAGAACTGTTACATTGAGGAATATTTCTAAATGGAATTAGATTGCATTGTTTTCCTTTATTATGCAATATCTGCATAGAAGATTTTCAACAAATGGTAGAAAATGTTTGTGATGTTTAATTTACCTCCAACCATGTGCTCTACATGTTTAAATGGTTAACCTATTTATCTTCAATTTTCATATTTATAGAAAAGGCTCACTGGATTGACCTCATTCTACTAAATATTTTGTTCTCTTTGTAAAATTTAGATTATCCACAAGTCTAGAGGTTAAATTTTTAGATTTTCAGTTTATTTCCACACCTTTCACATAAGTCATTCAGCACACAATTTAAAATGTTTTTGTTGCAGGAGAGCATAGGTGTGGCTGTGAATTGAAAATGTTTTTGGCCTCTTCTATAGACGAAAGTAAAAAGGCTCTTATTTTGTGTACTGATTCAGTTCCTGTATATATGTAATTGTCTCATAAATCATGTTTTTAATGCATGACAAAGTGGAAAATGGAAATAAAACATACAAGCAGAGACAGGCTTATGTAAGCGTATTTTGTCAGATTAGTACACCTTCTTGTTTATTTTGGTTATAGACATGTTATGACTTTAAAATCTTCAACCTATTGCTTCAACCTACTGCTAATGTCTACTAATATAGTTCTTGAAAAATAATTCAGAGCCCTTTCTGATCAATTCTTATATTCTAAAAACGTCATACAATATCATATTTGAACTTCACTCAACTACAGTGTTTTGCTGCTGCAGCAGCAACATTACCTGCAGCTGTTAACAGCCTCTAACGATCCTTTGTTTTTGTATTTCAGATAGATGAAGATTACATTCAGGATAGGTTCAACCTTACGGGTCTGAGTGAGCAGGTACCTCATTTCCGCCAGGCTTTGGATTTGATCCTCGACCTGGAGGCAGGTAAGGTTATAAGGAGGTGTTGCTTTCGGTCATAAATGGGTGGGAAAAAAACAATTTTAAATTACTAAATGACTTTTCTATAACAGATGAGGAAACTGAAGACAATCCGAATGAGAGCGGTTTGACTGAGCAGGCAGCTGAGATGCTCTATGGTCTTATACATGCACGCTACATTCTCACAAACAGAGGCATTGCACAAATGGTAACTGCTGTATTATGTAAAAGGAGCATGAGTTTGTTTAAATCAATCGTCACCATTTATCTTCATCTCTTTTTTTCTTTTTAGCTGGAAAAATATCAGCAAGGAGACTTTGGCTGCTGTCCCAGGGTAAATTGCGAGAACCAGCCAATGCTTCCTATTGGTAAGGCTGACTGTTTTTCCCTCAATTCACCATCATCAAACCTTTCTTTAATATTTTATTTCTAATCTAGGCTTATCAGACATCCCTGGAGAATCAATGGTGAAGCTTTACTGTCCAAAGTGTATGGACGTGTACAGCCCCAGATCGTCCAGACACCATCATACAGATGGAGCCTACTTCGGCACAGGATTTCCTCATATGTTGTTCATGGTGAACCCAGAGTATCGACCGAAGCGACCAGCCAGCCAGTTCGTACCAAGGTTTGCTCACTTTTGTTTTAAGCAGGTCTTTTCTCTTTCGTATGGACCGGGATCTAATTTCTCTTTCTTTCTTCAGGCTGTATGGTTTCAAAATTCACCCCATGGCTTATCAACTGCAGCTTCAGACGGCATCAAGTTTCAAAAGCCCAGCAAAGGCAATTCGCTAGAGACCAACTTTGCAATGACAATGGACTCAAACATTATCATCTGACTCATTTGAAGAAGTGCACTATTCCCAATAAAAAGCTTTACAGTTGCCTAAAATCATCTTTGTTTGTGCTTTTAAACACATCCTGCTGTTCTGATTTAAAGAAAATTACAACAAATCCACATTAGCAAATATATTTATGCAGATGTAAGTGGATAGGTGAGGGGCTAAGCAGTGAACCGCTCCAGTTAACATTAAAGATTGTGATGATATTATCTGCTAGAAAAAAAAAAACAAAAAAAAAACAGAAATAAGGCCTCATGAATCTCAAACCAAGAATTGTGCTAGTTGTGTATGAAAAAAAAAAGGTCTTATCAACATGTACTCAGATGTTTGGTGTTATTTTTATTTTTTTATTTTTTGCCAAAGTTGTTGAAAAAAAAATAATAAAAAAGAAGTCCCCCAGGTGCCTTTTTTTAGTGATCAAGATAAACCAAACTGGATAGTTTGGGTAAATAACAGACACTGAAATATAAATGTTTGCCTCATTTATATTTACTGATAATTTGCATTCATGTATAAACCTTATTCTACCAGCTATCTTTATGTCACAGGTACATACCTGTTGCTGTGCCCTCCACAGAGGTCTAATTACCTTTATTGAAACTAGGGTTGTCAAAAGTATCGATACTCAAAAAATAATCGATACTGAAACATTGTATCTGGATACAATACTCGTTTTAAAAAGTATTGATACAGTGCCACCACCAGTGGCACCTAAGCAGTCGTTCATCTGAAGTCCAGAATAGAGGACAATGCACTTTCTGAACACTGTGTGATTGAATAATTCTGTGCACTTTTCAGTTTCAGACTTTTTCTTTGGAACAGGTGCAGCTGCTGAGAATTATTTTGTTTGTTAACCGGTTTGGCTAGTGTCATTGTTATGTGTGCAAAGCATAGCCAAGGAAGGAACACAAGCTTGCTTAATATTATGCACAGCATACAACCTCAAAACATTGTTCTTATTGTATTTTATTTTTTAATGAAAATATTTCTGTAGAATTTTGAAAACTTTTTTATCCTTGTGGTATCGAAATTGGTATCGAGTATTGAATATTTTCCTTAGTATCGGTATCGAGTTGAAAAGCTTAGTATCGTGACGGCCCTAATTGAAATCACCTTTTAATGCAGTAACATTTTGCAGTAAAGTTAAAATTTGAAAACATTTAATGATCAAAAATAGTTCCCTTTAAGTATATTTTTTAAACGTGAGGTATACTTTGATTATTGACCTCTAGATATCCCTACTTGCCAACAGACTGCTTCTTTTTAATGCAATAATCTGAACCTTCTGCTCTGCAATCTGTCCAGATTATTTCTCAAGGCTTTTTATTCCACCACCTTTTCCTGGATATTTCCTGACTTAAGGTATAGTAGAGGGTGTACTTTTTCCGGGTGGATCATCAAAATAAGTGGTCCTCCTAATTATCAATCATTCTTGTGATATGTTTGCGTAAGGCTGTCCTACGTGCTCGTCCCCATTTTCACTTACAGGTGGTGAGTCTTAACCTGACAACAGCCAGATGCATGTCTCGCTCCGCCCAGCGAGCTAGGCGGAGTGAGACATGCATCTGGCTGTTGTCAGGTTAGGTGAGTCTGACATAGTGGAAAAATTGCAAATCTTTTCCAAAGTAAGCTTGTATGGGCGGTGCTAACAGCAACTTTTAAACGGCATGCACGAGGAAATGGGCTCATGCATGCTCATGCACTTTTAATAGGTGTCACCTCTCAGGAGCGGGTACAGGATCGTGCATGTATATATATATATATTTTTAAGTGGAAAGGGCAGGTCTTTACAAAGATTTGCAAAAATCCTACACTGTACCTTTATGAGCAACACTCCTACCATACTAAAATTACCCGTTCTCTCATCTTTCTTATCTTTAACCCTAAGCAACACATAGTAGAATATAGATACCAACATCTGTTTATTAAAGAATTTTAAAATTATGTGTGATTTTAAAAAACTGTGGCAGAAATGTTTGCCCACATCTCTACCAGGACGACCAGTATTTGTTGATACATGAAACTTTATCTCAGTAACATAAGGCAGTATTTGCTTTTGTTTTTTTTTGTGGTAGGCTAAAGTTCACAGAGACAGCCAAACAAGAATGCAAGTGAATGCATGTTTTATTCTCTTCATAAAAAGACAGGGAGAATTCACAAAGCGACAATAGCTTCTTTGTCTAAGATCAAAATTTTCTTATTAGGAAACAATAAATCTTTCATCAGAAGATTGTGGGTATGTTTTAATGAATAAAGCTACATTAGACAACAAACTCTGGATCTAATGACAAAAGGGAAATGTTAGTGAGAATTTTCTAAAAGTTAGTCAAACATTCCTCTCTATAGAAAAAAAGCAAAGGAAAACAGGTTAAGTGCAAATCTACTCAAAACTATGTGGTTCAAAAGGCTTTGCAAACTTGCAAAACTTGTCGTCTCTACCTGAAGCCTTGAAGCTAGTTAAAACACCACAGTACATCAAAATCACATGAAACAGTTCCGACTTTACAAATAAATTACTGTATCGCAGAACATTAAAAAAATTGACAACCTGTGCTCCTGTGAGAGAAAAAACAAAAAGCCACATATACTCGGGCAGCTGCCTTCATCCCTTACATGTATGATAATAGTGACAGAAGTTTCATTTGCATTGACCTCACTTGACTCAATATGAATGTGCATTTACAAGAGATGGATATACATCGATGGCAATTCCTCATACGGAGGTCTGTGGTCTTAGAACGTCAAACACCTGAGATAAGCAGACCAGAGCGGAAAAAACAAAAAAAAACAAAAACATTACAGACTAAATCAAATGGCTCTTAAAAGTAAACACACCCCAATCAAATGTAAGAAACCTTGATCCACACATATTGTGACATATCCTGTATAATTTAAGTAAAAAAACTTAAAAACAGCTGCAATGAGCTGGCTGGATAAATACATTCTAAGACTTTGTTGAAGCACCTTTTGATTCGGCTTCAGTGTTTAGTCTCGAGTTTCCATTTGCCATCAATTCTATTTAATCCAATTACATTAAAGAAAGATCAGGGTAGCCTTAAAGGATCTTCTTGATAATCACCTTGTTTTAGCTTTGAGCTAAAACCAGTAGGGATTTTATATCGCCTCAAAAGGGTTTCACTTTATAAAAAAACAATCCATTAGGATA